AGCATAACAAATTAAGAGCGAATGCAGTTGCTTTTCAGGAGAGCGACGAGATAATTATATCTTGATTTTCCCGCAAAAATAAGTGTATATCTGATAGGCAACACAGAATACACTAGTGTCGTTTGTTCGTTGCCTATATTCTTACGTTCTCTAACTGCTTTTCCAAATTTTGTCAGGCATCTACGGTAAAAAAAAAAACATTTATTAGAAAACAAGATTTATTCAAATTCGTTTAAAAATTATATAATTAGTCAGTATAATGCACTTTACCAAACTACATTTCATAAAAAAGGATTCGTGAATATATCAAGAAACAATATCCGTGTACTGTGTAGTGGTTATACACATCATAAGAACGTTTTCTGAGCAATTTTTCTTATGAAAAGAGGTAAATCTTGTCTATGGCAATCCTATTTATTCTGGCTATTGTCTATCAACCTTTTCGCTGCTCAAGGGCAAGTGGGGCGTTGACCGCCTGGATTGGTGATTTTTCGCCATGGCTTTAGACTATAGTTTGCGGCGTTTTGATCATGTCTACAAGACTTGCCCCCCTGAAAATTTTTTAAACGGTGCCCATAGCTCTATCGAATATAGTCATTTTGAACAGTGAAAGGGCTAAAGGATTTTTACGTAAAATGTATTGCCATGGTCATTTAAGCCGATTTATATATTTCTGAACTTGAGTTAATGTTACAAATCAAGTTAATACAAAGCATCCTTTGTAATATCTATTCACCATACACTTTGCTTCTATACAAAAGTCATAACCTAAAATTACTCTTACACCGCCTACCCATTGAAAGATATAGGTGGAGATTGGACGTTTTCAATCACAACCAAACAAAATACAGTCAGTTCAAAAAAAATATTTGTCATATCCGCATGAGCGAATGGTGAATATTGGAAGCACACATATCAGTAGCTCAGAAAAGTCTTTAAAATGCTTATCTATACTTATATCATAAATTATTAGGTAGTTTAAAATGCTGTCAATCTATCATTTTTTAGCTTGTTTTAATTTTAATAGCCCAATATGAATACAGATATAAAATATTATTTAATTTTGATATGAAATAAGCTTTTTAGATTTACTTCATAAGACAATCTGAAAAATGAATGTAAAAACGGACTAAAGGCAATTATTACATTTGGACAGATTGATAGACATTTCTAGGTAATCTTTCAATAATTTTAAATTATCAAATTCGATGTTACTGTTCTGCTCTGCTAAGACGAGAGATCCCATTTACAAAAGTTCTAATTTTGAGATTTTTACAATTTATTTTATTACGATAAAAAGTTAGAAAGACCTATCTGCATTGAAAAATATTGAAACTTACGTATAAAGGTTGGTCACAACTGCAAAACTTATCACTTTACAAAGTCTAAAGTTTTCGTTTTGTAGATACAACCTCTTAACCTTAGCAGGGCAACGTTTTACAGGTGATTCTCTCATATAAGAGAAAAAAATGCAAGTGATAAAATTCGAAGACTGTTCTATAAAATTTTAGTACAAAAAAATGTTTTTATCATTTACTACCAGTATTCTTTTGTAAAATTAAATATTAGTCCATATCTTGCAGGTAACAATTCTTTTTTGCTGCCTTGGTATCAGCGAAATCTTTAAAATGTTCATAGTTAGGTTCTAGCTAAAATCTTTCAGAACAGCCCTAATAAATCAGTAACGAGTGAGAACAAACTATTTTAGATTATAAAAAAACATGGCCCGAGAACGCCTATCTGATAACATTGTTTTACGCCACTGGATTAAAATTAAATGTCATTAAAACTAAACTCTTTTACACATAACTCAATAAATATTTAACGAAAACATTATTTCAATTAACTCTAGTAACAAAGGCCTTTAAATTATCTCAAACATTTTATAATTCCTGTTATCAAAGCAGTATCACAAAATGTGAGAAATTATCATACAAAATCACTAGTAGGTCTTTTAAATATTGAACATTTTCTGTAAAGGCACTTATTTAAGTTAAAGGCTTAACAAGTTTAAAAAATAAAACATGCTTCTCACAGAACTACCCCAATGAGTGACTCGATTAAAACGAAATTAGGGTGATGTGATTTGTATGAAAAGGAAGCTCTGTAAAAAGCGAAACAAGCACAATGTATATGATTAATAATTATTGTATTTCCTTCATAGTAACAATATTACAATATAAATTTGAAGAGTAGATTGAATACCATTACCAAAATTGGGGTTAGTGATGTGCAATAAAATGGAAGTTAACTTCACACCACACACGGAATGATGTGTGTGTGTGGTGTGTGTAGTGCGTGTGTGGTGTGTTGTGTGTGTGTGTAGTGTGTGTGGTGTATGTGTGTGTGGTGTGTGTGTGTGTATGGTATGTGTGTGTGTAGTGTGTGTATTGTATGTGTGTAGTGTGTGTATGGTATGTGTGTGTGGTGTTTGTGTGTGTGGTGTATGGTATGTGTGATGTGTGTGTGGTGTGTATGTGTGTGTGGTGTGTATGTGTGTGTGGTGTGTGTGTGAGTGGTGTGTGTGTGTGTGTGAGTGGTGTGTATGTGTGTGAGTGGTGTGTATGTGTGTGTGGTATGTGTGTGTGATGTGTGCGGTGTGTGTGTGTGTGTGTGGTGTATGTGGTATGTGCGATGTGTTGTGTGTGTGGTGCGTGTGTTTGTTGTGTGTGTGTGGTGCGTGTGTTTGTTGTGTGTGTGGTGCGTGTGTGTGGTGTGTGTTGTGCGTGTGTATGTGTTGTGCGTGTGTATGTGTGGTGGTGTATGTGTGTGGTGTGTGTTTGTTGTGTGAGTGTGTGTGGTGTAGTATGTTTGTGTGTGTGGTGGTGTTGTGTGTGTGCGTGTTTGTTGTGTGTGGTGTATGTGTGTGGGTGGTGTGTTGTGTGGGTGTAGTGTTTGTGTGTGTTTGTTGGTGTGCGTTTTATTTTTCTATGGATAGGCAACACAGAATACACAAGTGTCTAATTAATAATTGTTGCCTCCACTTTTTAAATGAGGAACTTGGAGCTTTGGCTACAGCGTAGCAGATGGCGTTATAAATAAAAATGATAAATCGCCATTCTTTATTTTCAAACTCGAGAGAATTCATTTCTCTCAAGAGAAATGTCATACGTCAACGTAAAACCGTATTTTTGGGGCTCTTAGGGACAGGGTGAACTCACTGACTGTTTCTCTCGGTTTATTTAGAGAAAATTAAAATCTTCCTAAGAATTTTAATCCTCGATGCCTTTAAAAACAACATTTCCACATTGACGTATGACATTTCTGATGAGAATCTTGAGTGCTCCCATACTTTGAAAATAGCCCCCCAGTGTAATAGCTCTTGACACATTCATTGCGTTCGGTCTGCCAAGTTCCTTTAACTCCAAACGACCCTTTTAGCGTTAGGTTTAGTCCAATGAAGTGGAGAGGGGTAGAATGATAACTGTCAATGAAAAAGTCTGGACACTATGCACAATTTCGTTTTGCACATTTTGTAAACAACATTCAGGGACGGTTTAACAACATTTTGTGCAACAATTATAAAATAGTGCATCGAAAAATAATTAACAAGTATAATTTAATACTAAATTGGAATAAAAGCATAAAAAATCATAAATATAAGCAAGATAACAAAGAATTGACGCCAAAAAAGCTTACAACAGCCAAAACACAAACAAAAAACAGAGCTGAACATGAACATAATCGCTGAATAAAGTCGATCCTGGAATTTGTTTACAGTGCTTTAGGGCAACCTCTCCTTGTCATTTACGTGTGTAAGAGTGGAAGGCTGAATCACGCATAATTTCTACACTCGTGATGGATGCGCAGACGGTACCTTATCGTTCTACCCTCTCTACTTCTTTGGTTTAGTCCGATTAGTGACAGTTTAACACGCTTAAATGTCATTTAAAAATTTGTCCCGCTCCGAGGCGAGTTCGGATAGTCAGGGGCTGGAGCGGGACAAAAGCGGAGTTTTTTGGGGTGCCTTTAAATGATATTTAAGCGTGTTAAACTGTCACTAATCGGAACGCTAAAAGGGTCGTTTGGAGTAAAAAGTGTTCAAGGAGTTAAAAGAACGTGGCAGACCGAACGCAATGTTAGTGATAAAATGTTAACATTTATGAGATTTTGACTAGCTCAGAGAAATTAAACACCAAACATTACCTTTAAAAATTAAAAAAAGAAATGACCACATTGACCATAGTTTTCTGTCGTGAATTCGGCTTTTCTAATAGACACCTTTGGGATAATTTTCTAGGAGAGTTGGGTACCACTAATTCTTTTTTTATTTTTTGAAAGCTAGCTAAACTCTAGCTTTATCAAAAAGAAATTAATAACTTATATAAAATTTAACCTTAAAAAAAAAGTTCAACATATATACTTATAAAAATCAATTAAGTTTATTCAAATAAAAAAGATGATGTTCAGGAACAAGTGAATATTAAAGTTTATCAGGTAAATTAACTTTTATATCGTCATTAATAAAACTAGTCACCATTAGCTACCACATTTGATTTTGGCTGGCAACTTCCTTAGGATGCAGTCGAAAATTCTACTACTCGGGAACGAACACCAAATCTCGCATTTCCCATGATTCTGCTACTCGAGCATGAAGAGCTTACCTCGTTCTGTCGTTCTTACGTGTAACTTTTAGCTTGTGACTTTCAACGGTTAGCTTTCAGCTGTTCCTATTCGTTTTTACTTTTACAGCCAAACTACCAGACATAGTAATCATAAAATAAAATTTCAAAATCTAATGGCGAAATCGTTTGATTTACTGTACTCCCACTTCACGAAATTTCCCTTTCTTTGGAATATTGCGTGCGGCGATAATTGAATTTAAATTAATCGAAACTATTTATACAGGATGTCACACAATTAATAATAACATTTTTAACCGGAATTTTAAAATGTTACACCAGTTACTATTAAAATATTTTCCTTTTTCCATGATTGATCCATGAGAATTACCTAGGGAAATAAAGCACAATAAATATTAATACAATTTATTTGAACATATTCAATTTGTAAAACACAATACAAATGGTATGTACACAATAGGGTACCATTTCTATAAAATAGAATCAAATAATACAATTAAACAAAATGCATATTTAAAAAAAGGTGTATTGCATTTATGTACAAAGATAAACAAAAATATCAATTTCACACTATAATACATTCACTAGTGTTTATGTTTGTGTCTGTGCTTTCTGCTGGAAGGTTCTGGGGAGTGGTATTTGGATCTGATGGAAGGAGGGCTAGCATGTCGACTTCTTATGGGGCTCGTGGACCGCCGACTATGCTTGCTGCTCCTGCTGGGTGGGGGTGGGGGACTGGGAGAAGACACTCTATGTCTTTTGGGCGAGTATTTACCGTTGGAGCCGGTAGGAGACAGGGAGTCCTTATTTTTACGGGAGGAACGGGAAGAACCGGGAGAATGTCTTCTTATCCTTGGGGGACTCGGCGGACTGAGAGCTCTGGAGCTCTTTTTTCGGGACGGCGAACGACTTTTTGATCTAAAATTCAAGTTTAAGGCACATTCGTTAAAAACCAATCAAAACAATCAAATCTTATAACTATGTGTTACTGTTGAAGGAAGAAAATGTTTAAAAAGTAATAAAAATACTCATACTATACTTAAGTTGTTACCTGTGCCTGGAGGTTGAACCACTTGATGAACTTCGTGCATGTTTTTTACTTTTTCTAGAAGTACTACAAAATCAAGTAAAACATGAGACGTACCATATTAATAAGTCATTTTTTTGATGTTCAAAACAGAATTTGCCAAAGCATCAAACGGTCAGTCATAATAATACTTAGTTTGATGCTTCAACAATGTCAAAATTAGAAAAAGAAGTCCCTTTGGCATGTTAGAAATTTCGTTTTACCATTCACCAAACTGATGACAACTCATTAACCCTTTCGCGACGGACGTCGGATATACACGGTTCCCAAAAAAAATGGCACACATACGGCTGTATACGTTCAGTACTTTTTCAACTCTAAAGACTACGGCCGACTTAATCCGACCCCCTTTTAAGGTTACAGTGGCTGGTATACGGTTGTCGACTTATTCCGTCACTATCGAACTTGGCTCACATACTAATGTCGGAGAAGTCCGCTCGGTGTCGGAAATACACGACGTTCGTCGAGAGCGGATGCTCCCACCATAGGTTGTAACCATTGCAAAGCCCGTGGTTTCCAGAGCTTACATAAGTGAGTGGACTGTGTTTTCCAGTACATTTTAGAATGTCGTCAGAGAACGTCTCTGGCCCTTCGCGGCCAAAAAAAGATTCAAAGGATATTAATTACTGTGGATTGGTTGAACGTGAAGTTAAACAGATACTTAAAGTTGTGGACAATTTATCAGACTGTTATGTAAGTGAGGATGCATCGTTTGCTGAGAGCGGAAGTGAATATATACCAGAATCGTCTAGTGAAAGTGAATTGTTGGAGAGTGATGATGAATATCAATATGAGAATGATATTGAACAGAACATTGAGCCAAACGTAGAAGAGGAAAATGGTGATGAACAAGAAGAAATACAACCGACGGAAAAGCTCAATATACACTGGGCAGATAACATATTTATGCCTCAGAAACATGCATTTAATAATAATCAATCTGGAATAAACCCCGACTTAAATTTGAACAAAAATTCAAAAGAAATAGATTATTTTTCTTGTCTTTTTACAGATGATCTTGCTGATTTAATTGTACAGGAAACAAACCGTATTGCCTTACAAAGTAAAGATGACTGGAAAGAGCTTGATAAATCGGAGTTTTATGTTTTTTTAACACTAAATTTGTTAATGACAAGAAATAAGAAACTAGGCATGCATGAATATTGGAGCAAAGAACCTCTTCTTTATTCCCCCATTTTTGGACAGTGCATGGCAAGAGATTTTTTCCATTTATAGAAATTTGCATTTTTGCAATAATGAAGTGGCTACAGTTCATTCCAAATGAGGTCAACCCTGCACTAGGAGTCACAGGTGAGGTTGTAATGAAACTGATGGAGCCATATTCGTATCAAGGACATTCTCTTTATACAGATAATTTTTATACTAGCCCTTCTTTATATTTATATCTGTTTGAGGGACAAACCAATGCTTACGGAACTGTACGGCAGAATAGAAAAGCTATGCCGAAACTAAAAACAAAACTAAATAAAGGAGAGACTTCGTGGAAAAGTTCTGAAAACTTGTTAGCATTGAAGTGGAAAGACTGAAGAGATGTGTACATGTTGACTAGTCATCATGAAAACGAGATAATTACTCTACCCAAAGTGGACAGAATAACTAAAGAAAGACAAAGAAAACCTTTGTGTGCGGTAGATTATAATAAAAAAATGGGCGCTGTCGACCGTTCAGAGATGTTAATTAGCAGCATAGATTGTATGAGAAAAAGTATAAAATGGTACAAGAAATTATTTTCTCATATTTTGGATATCTGCATTTTAAATAGTCATGCGCTCTTACTCACTCAAAATGAAAAGAAGATTCCTCTAGCAACTTTTTATTTGAATCTTGCTAATCAGATCTTGGAGAGGTAACTCGATTTTAAATATTTTAGTACATATGCGGTATTATTGACTGTTTGTATTTTTTAGATCTACTTTACAATATAATATGCCAAGGGTTGTACCTAATTTTTTAAGTAGGCTAACAGAACGCCATTTCCCATCACTAGTACCCAACACAGACAAGTCAAAGAGGGCAATGTGGCATTGAATTGTATGTGCGCAGACTACTAGAGGAGTGAAGAAAAGAAAAGAGTCTCGTTACATGTGTCCAAACTGTAATGTAGGCTTATGCATCGTTCCATGTTTTGAAACATACCACAAAGTTAAAAAAATTTAATACTTATTTTCTGTTTTTTTTTTTTTTCAGTAGTTTTGGTTCATTTCTTTTGTTGTGTTTTTACATTTTTATAAAATATATATTATAATTTGGTCTAGTATTTACAATATATGTTTTCCTAATGCAAGAACAGAAATCTTTGACAAAGAAAGTCTTAATTTTGATCGTTTTTTAAGGGTCAGATAAACTCGACATCTGTCCCTGAGCCAAAGTCAAAACGTGCGTACAGTGGGCACATTTTCAAAACCACGGTGCGGTCGCGAAAGGGTTAAAATAATCACTCTAAAATTGAGTTGTCACTAAAGTGTATTTAATTCAATTGTAGCAATGGTAAGATAAGTAGCTAATTAGGTTTCAAGTGCCAAAACTTGGTTTGTTTTGTGGTAAAATAATGTTTCTAATATAATATGTATCTATCTACCAAAGGATTCAGTCTACTTTAGTTCTCTTGGCATACTTACAGTTCCTTGTAATAAGCCTCATCATCGGAACTATCACCAGCAGTTCTCCTTTCACTTTTTTCGAAGTCTCTTTTGTGCCTTTCACTCTTTGGTGTCTTCTCTTTCTCCTTCTTGACTTTCTCGGATTTTCTAAGTAACTTCCGCCTATAATGTTCAACTTGTTGTGGCAGAGTCCATCCGCTTTTTAACTGTCTTTGTCCAGATTCAAGCTCGTCTTGATACTGTACTGCTTTTACCTCAATTTCACGCAGTTGTTGTCTTTTTTCTTCAGTCATGTTTCTAAAATTGCAAGAGAACATTTTATTCATATGTGTTTTTCATCAATTTCGAATCAATACATTTCTAGTTCTTTAATTTGTTTATTGTAAAGAAATACATGAGTTAAAGCTCACCTCACATCGGAGTAATCAGAATAATCTTGATTTTCATTTGAACTGCTTTCTCGACTAGCATCTTGACTATTTTCTAACATGTCCCATTTGCTTGTTGTCATTGCCTGTGCTTCAACTTGTTCTGGATCTACAGTTTCCCATTTGGAAGCTATAAAGCCAGTTAAACCGGAATCTTTTCTTGGTAGATCGTCCTTTATTTCTTTACCTACATAATAATAAAGAAAAATAAGAAAAAAAGTTTTGCCTTCTTTTAATTAATAAAAATCTGTCAGGTTATCTTAAATTTTTCTAATATCTGTTATCTGTTGAAACCATTGAAGAAGTGCCTAAAGCATTTGCAAAGTTTTCAAAGAATAAGTGGCGTCAAATAGTTTTTTTTCAAATGGATTGAAATGGGAACCAAAACTGAAATTTACCATCAATGTCTAATTCATCTCCAGAACCAGCACTCTCATACTGCATCATTGTAGCCTTTAAAAGTGCAGCACCATCCATGGGTGTATCGTCATCGGAATCTAGAGTGTCTAGAGGATTGCCATCAATATCTTCTGCTGCATCTTTAGTGCTAACAGTTTCTTCCTAGAAATAAACACAGCATAATAATATTTGAAATAATGAAGAAGAATTAAGACACAGGAACACTTACCACTATGTCGGGAAGTCCAAGGAAAGTGTTGTTCAATTTGTTCATAAAGTCCTTAGGGTAAATTGTGTCTTCCCAAGCTTTTAAAGTTCTTAAAATCCTTACTTTCAGACCGTCTGCCTGCAATCTGCCCTCTAATTTGTCATAAGATTCTTTAACATATTTAAATATATCCAACAATCTATTTTCGAACCTGCAAACACAAAAATTTACAAATAAAGTCATGTATTTAATAAATATACCGTTTGTTACTTACGCTTTTCTAAAGAAGGAAGCTTTCGTGACTTTAACCTGACAGTTGTGCAAAATGTCAGATATTAAATATAACCTTGCTATCTTTTTGGTCAAAGCAGTGTTTTCATTGGCCAGTGATTCTGCTATGCAATCTACGATTTCATCAGCCGCTTCACTGTGCTCTATACAGAATACCATTACTTCGCCGATTTTGCTCTTTTCAGGAGTTAACTGTCTAATTAAGTCTTCTAACCTGTCTCTCTGACTGCAAAGTAACATTGGTTGAGTAAATAAAAATAGTGTCTAATGATTAAATAAATGTTAAGAGTATGTCAAATTGTAACATCAACAGAGTGCTGAATTAAAAACTTACGAATTTGACAAGCTGCCCTTTGAATTCTCTTTAGCCTCGTCTTCTCTGACTAACTCATCAGGCATTCCAGTCGTGTAACAATTCATAATAGGTGGTTTCCATATAGATCCATCTGAAAATAAAACAACATAAATTGATACTGTTTAAAATGGATCATTAGCATTGACATACTTTTAAACATTTTGAATTCCTTAGGACCCCACTCCTTTTGAGAATCGCCATGTAAAATGGAATAAACTTTCCACCTATAGTAAGTATGTGCAGGACTTTGATTTTCAAATAAAAATCTGAAAATAAATAATAGGTGTGTTTACAGTAGTTAAATAACAAAATAAAAAAAAATAAACATAAAACCATGGTGCAATACAAAGCTGATCTGATTAATCTTCTATTTTATCTAATCATATTTGAATGCAACTGATAAAAAATAGTTACTCTACTTACCTAAACTGTGGATTATTAATTTCCCTATTCATAATCATGGCCTCAAACATGGGACCTTCTCTGACAACAAATTCAACCATTCTATGAATTAACATTAATAAATTTCGATCTGTTGGTATTACAACTTTGACTACAGCTCTGCTGAGAATCTCGTTCAGCTCCTCTTGAGACTTGGGAAGCACTTCCTTGTCTTTAGCGGCGGGTTGCGCGTTAAACGGCAGTCCCGATGGAGGTGGAGGTTGGGCAATCTCTAGCAAAACGGGAGGAATGTATATAGGATGAGGCGGTATTATTACAGCCTTGCCCCAACCAAGTTTCATTTCGTAGCCATGGATGTCTTTTCCGTTTAGATTTTTTAAAGCACGTTCACCATCTTTCCTCGCCATGTACGCTACGAAACCGCAGTTTCTGCCTCTGGCTTTTTCTTCATCTGATCTGGGCCACATGATTTTAATGCTGGCTAGTGGTCCGTATCTCCCAAATAGCTCCATGAGTTGTTGTTCTGTAATCTGTAACGAACATAACTTACTGCAAAATACCTGTGATCTATTCTTTTTATTTTCAATAAAACCCAGAAGACAAGGAATAACACAGCTGGTTTTATCACAAGAACTATGTCATATACAAAAAAAAGATGAAAAATATATTATGGTTCATTTTAAAATACCTTTGGATTTAGGTTTCCTAAATATAAATTTGTTGTGTTAGGATCACCGTTATCAAATGAACCAATGTCTCCACTTCGCATCAACATGTCCAGTTCATTTTCAATTGGTGTTCTAACAGCACCTTTGTACTTTTGTCGTTCCTCCCTTTCTTCTTGTATTCTAAAAAGAGCAAGCAGTATTTGATTTAGTCTGATGCAAATAAATCCGGAGCAAAAAGTGACTGTATATATGATTCAAAGTAAATTTATTACTTCCTATTTTGTTTATATTATACAGGGTCCCTACTATTTTATAGAGACAGTATTGGCATTTCTTGAAAAGTAACAGATAGAACGTTGGTTAAATTAGACAAAAGTTGCGCAGTTTTGTGCTCATTAAAATCTTTGATATCTATAGGGAAATTAAAAAAAAATGAAAACTTTTAATTTTTTGTCTGATATTTTGAATCTCCTTGTAGATTATCTAAGGTCTCTTGGCACCATTTTAATGAGCACAAAACTGAGCAACTTTTGTCTAATTTAACCAACTTTTTATCTCTTACTGTTTAAGAAATAATAATACTGTCCCTATGAAATAAAAAAAAAAAAAAAAAAGAAAAAAAAATAGGAAACTGTCATCAAATTTAAATTGGGAATTAAAATATATTTTTGCTATAACGACCAGAGAGAAGTCGAATCCACAATGGGCAAATTTAGAATTTTTTCCCTTTTTTTTTTGTGAGTTCGCTAAGTTGACTGTAGGTGGCGGTTCGTTCGTAAGTGACTATTTTCTTTGTGTCAATGTAAAAAAAATGTTTTTCTAGAAATACTGGTACTGGTACAAAAAAAAAATGTTAAAAAAGTATCTAACATGAGTAGTAAATACCATAAAAGCAGGATTTGCTTTGTTCCTGGGTGTAGAATGAGTTATTTTACAATCCAAGCCTTTAAGTAAAATAATGTATTTACTTACAATTGTTATAGCATAAAAACATTAAAAATTCAAAATACTAGGAAAGAAAGTTTTTTCTTTCAATTAAAGTTTTGATGTTAGCTGAAGAGTTACTATTATTTGTTATTGTACTTTGTTGTAATTTAGTAATAGTATTTTTTAGGATTCTAAACATTTAGAACAGTGGCAATATGTAATTCCTAAGGCTGATAAAACAGTTTCTAGTGATGTTGTTTGTAAGTTACACTTTTTAAATGAAATTAATGCTATTATCTATTGTTGATAAAATTACTTAAGAAATTATTCCCTTAGAAGTGCAGTTAATGTAGCCATTCAAACTTTATTCTATTTATGTACTAGTTTATTTAAAATAAATCATATTTTCAGTTAAACTATTTTTTAGCCCTCAGACCTATTTAGGTAACTCAAAATAAATTAACCCTACTTACCAAATTTGCATTTTATTTAGAAAAGATTAAATAATAAATAATTGTCAATTAAAATTCATAATGAAATATAATATTTTCTGTGCTTTATTGAGCAATAAACGAAATTATTTTTTATTTTCAAAAAATTATGTAGTTTAGAAAATATTGAAAATAACCCTGAGCACATGGTATTTGGAATTAAGACAATATTAAAATAAATTGTTCAGTATTAAGAAGTATAATGACACTTTTTTTCAAAGATAGAAAGAGATTTGAAAGTTTAGTCTATAATATAAAGATGAAAAAATATTTTTTTAAATTATTAGACCTAAATGAACTACAATAAAACAATAATGAAGATGGAAGAAAATAGAAGTCAAAAGTCAGAGCTTTAAGGAAATAAAAATAGGAATTATTGAAGGCTACAAAATGGGAAAAAAATGTCCAAATAGATATTTTGAGAAATATGGAGATGTGACTGTCGTACAAAATGTACAATACATTTTAATGTACAGTATATGTGCAATACAATTTTATTGTATTAATAGTAGAATCCACCATTACACAGGCATTTTTGGAAAGACATGATCGGTAACACACTCAATACATCACAGTACACTAACAGAAACTGTTGTTGATTCTTATGTGTCAATTTAAAACAAAAATGCGTACATACGATTATAGTTATTATAGTACTGACATGGGCATTGCTGTGACATCACTTGGTCCTGTTGTACAATTGTATGTCTCATACTGCATGACATAATATGGTGTACTGTACTGAGTGTACTAGTACAACTAATTTTACTAGAGGAATAAGAATAGCAAATAGGTGAAGAATGAAAGAAGGACCTAGATAATACAATGGATGGTACATGAAGAAAAAATTTGCAACAAGAGAATGTGAAGAAGTGTTAATTAAAAAAAAAAAATGGGAAAAATATCAATTTATAAGACCTAAATTCATCATTATGAAGAACTAGAAACAAGAAGCTACATATCACAAAAAAATTGAGAAAAGTCATATCCTAAGACTTGAAGAACAATATACATAAATAAATATTTATTTTGTTTCATGAGCAACAATCGCTTCACTAAATTATTTATTATATTTTGTACAATCTAAATATGATGTTAAGATAAGAAACAACATTTTTTAAAAAATAAACAAATTTTTTTGGCCAATTATTTATTAGTTGGTTTGGTTTTAAAAATGTAGTATAAATGTAGTAAACATCTAGTTATTGATAAACAAAATAGCACTTACTGTCTGAGTTCTTCCATAAAAGATTCTAAATTGCTTTTTTGTGAAGGCTTCTTTTTTCCTAGTCTCTCAGGCTTTCTATCATTAGATAACAGTTTAGCATAGGCTTGGGCTCGTTCAGCAGAGCTCATCTGTTCTTGAGCAGGAGTTATTCTAGAGGTTGGTTTGTACAATTTACCCTTATCTTTTGTGTCTTCTCCTGCAAAAATCAAATAACATTTTAGCAGTTATATTTTTCTTTGTAAATCCAGATGTGTAACTTTAGTTTAATGAGCATTAAGAGCAACTATCACAAAATGTAACTAGTGATATTTTATTAGTAAAAATTACAATGATCTTCAAATAAAAACATTTTTTGAAATTATTGGAAGACAATAGTTATTTTGGAAGCTACTCCAGATTTGTTTTACATATCAGTTGTACAATAATACAGCTCTTAGCTTATTAAAGACAACAGCTATTGGTTGTGTTATTTTACATGGTTCTTCAAAGCTCACACAATTTTCAAATAGTATTTTTATAAGAAGAATGTCTCAAAACTGATTACAATCATAAGTGTTTAATCAAATCTGAACAGTTTATAATAAAAAATGAATTTCTACTTACGTCTAGCCCCTGCATCATATGTTCCGGCTTTGACCCAGACCTTAGAACTGCCGTTAATAGGAGCTTCTTGAAAGGTTTCGACGAATTCTTGAAATACCTAAAAGATACAATGAATACTATGCTTGTAAAGTGAAATATGTAGGTATTTACATGAGCGGCAGCTTCCTCTTCCTCTCTTTTTCGTTGTTCTTCTAATTCTCTTTTGGAAAGGTTCCTTTTCCCCATAGTTCCGATTGAAAAAGCTTTTAGCTTTTGCTCCGGAATATTCTGCAAATCAAAGAAATTTGTAAGAGTTCATCGGAAAATCGGAAAGGTTAGATGCTGTTTTACCTTTAGTTTATCAGCCATGTTACGGTATTCCAAACCAAAACAACAAAAAGTGTCTTCGAATGTTAAATATGCCGTAATTTATGTTAATATCGTAAATAAAATTGTTTAAATTCCATTTTTCAACAATTTTCGGACAGTGTTTGGGCAGTTTGCTTCTGTCACATCTGTCATCAATGTCAAATAAATGGAGATTGGAGAAGAACTAAACCAAAGTCATTTTTTCACGAACAAATTTGAATTTTTTCCATTACGATATTTATTTTAACCCTGCATAGTTCAATAATCTAGTAAAATATGGTCATTTCTAGTTCTAAAAGTAAGAATTATAAGATTCTAATGACAGACATTTTTATTAAAAGCTGAAATAGGATGAAAAATAACAGATATTAGTTTTGTTGAATATTCTGCGGTATATAAGGACATCTCTTGGATTTCTAATGAAATAGAAAATAGTTCATTGTAGGCAACTGTTACACTACGATCGAAGCGCCATCTTTTTTGAATAACCAAAATATTAAGAAGTTTATTGCAGGTGACTATTTTTTTCCACCAGCAGCACCATCTATCAAAAAGTTACCGATCTATCAAAATTTTATTTGTAGTTAACTCTTTATTTAGGAATTGCAACAATAGCTGCCGGGGGTTGCGACATATTCTTCCATCTTGGTCGCTATTTTTATTCGAAATTAGTCGCCAACCAAACTGCCAATTTATGAAAGATGTATAAGCTGTTTATTTTTAAATACTATTTTTGTTTTTCGATGTAAAATATTTAATTTTAATCCATTATTCATGATTTCACGTGTTGTTGATAGAATACATCGTATGTCGCAACCTCTTAGATATACCAACCATTCTCACGACAGCCATTTTGTTAGGAATGCCAAAATTAGATGAGGCGACGCGCCAGAGGTACCTACAATATGTGGAAATGTAAACTAAATGTTATTTCTCCATGATAGTAGATGTAGCAGCATTCGTAGATATCTATCTATTTAAGATACAGGGGATTTCTAGAAGCCATTTAATGTCCTTAATAAATTATATGGTAAGATTAGGTGTTTTTTGTTTGAATAGTGAATGTTAAAATTAGAGAATTAGAAAAATACCACTTCATTTCATATTGGCCGTAAGAAAAAAATAAAAAGAATGATACAGGTTGTCCCGTTCTTATTTTAAGATGATAGAAAAAAATGGAGAGAAGGATTTAAATACGTAAAACTTGAAAACAGGGGCAAATTGAGATTAACGCGGCAATTTTTAAAAACACGTGCTGCACAGCCAAACTGTTTACTTTAATGCAAAATAAAAATACGCCAGTTAGAGGACAACCCAATGAAGTGAAGAGGGGTAGAATGATAACTGTCAATGAAAGAGACACAAATGCACAATTTCGTTCTGCACATTTTGCAAACAAGATTCAGGGACGGTTTCACAACATTTTGTGCAACAATTATAAAATAGTGCATCAGAAAATAATTAACAAGTATAATTTAATACTAAATCGATATCAAAGCACAAATAATCACAAATATAAGCAAGAAAACAAAGAATTGACGCCTAAAAAGTTTAAAACAGCTACAACACAAACAAAAAACTGAGCTGAACATGAACAAAGTCGCTGAACAAAGCCAATCCTGGAATTTGTTTACAGTGCTTTAGGGCAACCCTCCTTGTCATTTACGTGTGTAAGAGTGAAAGGTTGAATTATGCATAATTTCTACACACGTGATGGATGCGTAGACGGTACCTTATTTTCTACCCTCTCTATTTCTTTGGGACAACCGTATTAGTCGCTCATCTGACTGCAAAAAGTGGCACGTCGTTTTTCTGCTTACTATTTGTAATTGGATACAGGGGAGGGGAGTGAACAAAATGTACTATGTCCCCGTGGTGAGAGCGGTCATGTGACCTATGAAATTCAAAGTAAAGTTGCTTATCGATGGATTTTTCTTTTTTTCTGGTAATGAAATGTAATCTTTTAGACGTCAAAATTGTAATTAAAAAATCCTTTTGCATGTACATTCTGTCGCCCGGTTTTGCTACTTCCGTTGTAGATGATATCGCAAGCATTTTTTTGTCGGCGAAAGGATTAATATGCAAAAAATATATAACAGCGAAAATCGGAATCAAAATTTGAAAAGTGGTTTATATTGCTCTCAAAATGTTTGTATTTGTATGGCTCTCAACTATGAGTATTGTCTTTGCAAGCATATTTTATTCAGTAGGTTTTATTTTTTGGTGTTTATTTAGGGGCTACTTGAAAATGGTGCGCAATTACAAAAAAAAGGTCGAGAGCAGACCTTGTCGTAAATATAGTCAGGAAGATTTGAATATATTGCTGTGTCAAGATATGAGAGTTTATAGCTAAAATTGTTAAAAAAAAAACGGACGTTTATGCAAATTTTTAAGAGGATCCGAAAAAATGAAAATAGCTACACATACATCCGCCAATTGAAAACATCGGTCTCGTTGAAAAAAAAAATGGAATTAAACAGAACTATAAATATTACGGAAGAGACAAAATAACATTTAAGGAAATCTAGAAATTAAAGTTTTCTATATTATTTAGTCACTCACACTAGTTTTGATTTCAGTTTGTTTTTTAAAGTTTCTAATTGTTTTTAAGTTTCTATTTTAATTATTATCCTTCGTTATGTTGTGTAAAATAAAGATTTTTGTAATTTTGCATAAAACTGTTGTTTTATTATCGACTTTAATAAAAATCCAAACAAAAATATATATTTTTTTGCTTTAAAGAGGATTATAAACAAAGCGATGCTTTTAAAACGTTTTAAAGGCACCTTTTCAAGAAACCCCATCACGGGGCTATTTGAAAATTAACCACTTATATAATTTTTAAATAATGGTAAGGGCTAGATTTTTTTCTATGCCAAAAGCTTCCCCAGACCAAATCACTGAACCCAGTATTAGTTCTTTCGTTTTTCCTTTGTCAGCAGAATACAGTTTCCAAAAAGTATTATCAATTAACCCAGTTTTACGGTATGATAAATTTTTTCTAATTTTGACATAAAACTACATTTTTTGTATTAGTAGCAAATTATCTACTGTATTCAACCAGTTGCATAATTTTGAACATTATGAAACTGATTTCGAAATAGCTATTTATGAAACCAGTTGCAAAATGCCTTATTTTATGCAACGAGTAACTATTTGCGAGACGAGCAGAGCGAGATCCCGCAACATGAACGAGTTACACAGAACGGCATTTCATAACGTTTTAGATACGATATTTTTTCTAATTTTGACTAGATTTTTTGGTAAAAAATTTCTGACATCTAGGCAACCAATATTACTACTTTTTTGTATTGTTAGTTGCATATGATTACCTTCAATCTTTTATTGACAAATAGAAAATGGCTTGTCGTGTATTGTGTTTTAATTGTTTTTAGCTGATTTAGAATGGAAAATAAGGAATAAAGCATTATTACTAGGTTGCAAATTTAACTAAATTCTATTTTTATAAGTCAATCTGCCCTTCTTTGATATAAGCTTTCAATAATAATGTATATTAGAGATTTTAAAACCAAAAAAAGGTTCATTTTTATTTGTTTTCTTTTCGCAACTGGTGATATAATTAATTTTTTCTACACCCGTATTATAATAATGAACTTATATGCCCATAATTCGTTTTATAATGATACCCATTATGATAGATTTTTCATAACGATACAGATTTTTAATCAATTAGGCGTTTCAAACAAAAGAACTGCCAGTGGGAAGATTTGGTATATCTAAGGGTTGCGACATACGATGTATTCTGTCTACAATACGTAAAATCATGAATAATGGATTACATTTAAATATTTTATGTCAAACAATAAACATATTTTAAAAAAACCGCTTATACATTTTTTCATAAATTGGCAGGCTTGGCGAGTACTATTTCGAATAAAAAAAAAAACGTCCAAGTTGCAAGACTATCTCGCTACCCCCTCAGATATATCAGACCTTCCGACTGGAAATTATTGTTTGACAGGTAGTTGGAATGCCTACTAGAAACCCATAATTTATTCAATCAAGCATGCTGTGCATTTGACGTTTGTCCTAGGTTCCTATGTAATTGTTTTAGTTGTCAAAATCAGTACGTATTAAATTTTCGTAGATAGCTAAACTTCAATAATTGTATTATCGCTGTTGCTAGGTACACGCTAAAGTGTACGCAAATCAAAAAATTATATACACGCGAAACATCATATTGCGGTGGTGGGAGGTGTTTGTGTGAATGCGTCTTGTTTGTTTTCATTTACGCCGTAACTAGCACAGTAGTATTTTATAAACCTTAGAAGCAAATTTCACATACATGAACAAATAATAATAATGCTGTGACAACAAGAAAACGAAGGAACGACTTCTCGTAAGGTGGCGGCTTCGCCGCCACAAAAAAATTTCAATCCATACCTCGCTACGATCGGCATAAACACGAACGGCCTGCACACAGCTCACCTACTCTGTCATGACGTCTCGCGTGTATATAAATTTTAGAATTGCGTACAAGTTAGTGTGTACCTAGACACTGTGTTGTATTATCAAAATGTCTGATAAAGAGAAAGTAAAAGTTGAAAAGTCTTTTGGTAGGTAGAGAGGGGGTAAACGTCAAACCACGTCGGGCGGCTCCGAGAATTTCACAGTAATGTTTACCTGCCAGTGTCGTTTCATAGAATAAGTAATTTTAAATTGTTATCGGCGGAACCGGACAATCGCATGTATTTATGGATTATAAATAATTATTAAACATGTATTATAATATTCATATTATAATTTTACAAAATTTCAACAGCTATTCACAATTTATTAAACTATTTACTCGAAATTGTTATTAACATATATAAAATAATTTTGTACGCCAATGTATCGCGTCCACTTCGGTGAAATCCGCTGACAACCTGTCAATTTATGTGTATAAAGTGGGAGAACTGGCAAAAGCATTTCCAACTTTTACTTCTGTTCTATCAGCGATGGACGTCGTTTGGAGGGGGCAAGGGGGAGCAGTTGCCCCTCCCTGGCTTTTACGACTTTTGAAGCTGAATACCAAATGTGGATAGCTAACTGGATTACGAAAGAGCTTCCTGCACACAATGAGCTCTCCGTTAATGATATAGCTGAACATGGCTGCGGCCTACAATGAATGAAAATAGGCGACTGGGACTGAGCTATCCATGATGAGTGTACAGAAAACAAAAAAGAAATTGTCTTCTGTTATCGATATTTTTGGTAGAGAAAGAAGAATTTTTAAATTTGCGTTTTCCTAAAGTCTTTGTGCTCGTCGACGTGTTCGAGTGAGTTTTTTATGTTTTCGTGTTTCTATAAATATTTAATTTATTTTTTATTATTGTATATGGCTGTGTCTTCTTGATACTATTTTTGATTGATTATTTATCGGGTGTAGAAACAAGAGCGTATGCAACTCTCATGTAATGGTTATTAATACTCTCGCATAAACCATACGAAACTCGCCTTCGGCTCGTTTCGTATCCCGGTTAATGTTCGTGTATTAATAACCATCATTACATGATCGTTGCATAATATACTATTTCGAAACCAGTTTCATAATGTTCAACATTATGCAACTGGTTGCGTAAAGTAAATCATTTTGACACTAGCTGCGATTACAAAAAATGTACAGTTTATATGTTAAAATTAGAAAAAAATCATTATATCACAAGTTGCAAAAAGAATAAACCTTTTTTGGAATTTTGTCAAACTTACAACTTAGTAATAATGTTGTTTTGGCCCGTTTATATCAAAGAAGGGCAGGTTGACTTATAAAAATACATTTTGATCAAACTTACAACCCAGTAATAATGTTGTTTTGGTCCTTATTTTTCATTCTAAATTAGCAAAAAATAATTAAAACACAATACACGACAAATTAACCCACTTTATTAAAATCTAAATAACTTTAACAAGCAATATAAACACACTACAATAAGTCGTTGAGAATAAAAGAATATGACTTTCTATTTGTTAATAAAAGAATGAAGTTAATCATATGCAACTAACAATACAAGAAAGTAGTAATATTGGTTGCCTAGATGTCAGTTATTTTCTACCAAAACACAATTTAATAAATAATCTAGTCAAAATTAGAAAAAAATATTGTATGTAACACGTTACGAAATGCCGTTTCATGTAACTCGAACATGTTGCGGGGCCTCGCTCTCTTATCGCAAATATTCATTCCTTACATAAAATAAGTCATTTCGTAACTGGTATCATAAATAGCTATTATGAATATGCGTTTTCTTTGTATCTACTGCTATTAATTATTTTTATAATCCGTTTTTAATTAATTACACAGTTCTTTATCGTATATATCAAAAGTGGCTAAGTAATTTTTTGCATGTTTTTGATAAAAAGGCAAATGATGGTTTTGTTGTGTCAAATCTGTTTTCTGCATGTTTTCAAACAGCTTTCGGATGCCAATCAGGTAGTGTAATAATTTTAAGAAATTATTTTATAACGAAAATGGCCAAAAAATTACATTTAATTTTGCAATAGCTGTAATTTATCTAAAAATTCATTTTCATATAGAAACAAGGTTGCTATTGGTATTAAAAATATATATTTATAGTAATATTTTTAGTCATTACATATCTCTTAGGTATAATCTCATATAGTGACAAATCGGACTCCCACATAAAAAATGATAAACAATTAAAACAGGAAGGATCTCCTATCAATTTTATTTGCACCAAATATTTTATTTAGTATCAATTTTGAAAAGTTTAGGAAATATTCTTAATTAAATATGAAAATTAGTATACTTTTTTTGGTATTTGGTATCCAAGTTTTACAATATTGTGAAGCTCTTTCTATAAAACGGGGTAAGAAATATATTATATTTATAAAATAAAGTTCCAAATTAATATTTAGTTTTTTAAATATTATTATTAGATATCTAATAGCTACACCAATTTTTCAGGTGCAGTTACGTTTATAGAAAATAAACATGAAAACACCATAGAAGATTTTAAAAATCAAAATCACATTAGAAGGAAACGCTATTTGGGACTTAGTAGAAAGTTTAAGGTAAATACGACCATATTATTTATAAAGTAGTATTTTTTTAAATTTTGTATTGTTCTTAGTTAAATAAACGATATCAAGAATGTATTGCGCCTGGAGATGCAACAGGGCACTGCAAACATATTTCTTACTGTCCTGCGGCTGTTTTTCAGCAGATAAATACTTTGGATTATTTGTGTGTAATAGAGGAAAGGTAAAAAAAAAATATGAAAAAGAAAGTGAAAGCATGAGCATATTTACCGATTTTCGTTTAATAGATTTGTAGGAGTTTGTTGTCCCGATGATATAACTGCTTCAGGTGTAGCAGGAGCGCAGCTTATCGTCGACTTACCAGCAGGAGGAGATGACTACGATGAAGAAGACAAATATACAGGTGCGTTTATTTATGTACATTACGATATTATATTTTTTTCAAATTACGTAAGTGTTTAAATAGTCCCAAAAAGTCATTTTGCAATAACATTGTATATACAGGGTGTCCCGAAATTAGACGGACATATTTTAACAGCATAATCTACATCCTAAAATAGGAGTAAAAATTCATATAAACATAGGTCCGAAAACATTTCTTTTCCGAGATACAGGGTGTTAAAAGTGAAATCCTGATAAACGTTTAAAGATAACTGAGTGAAATTTAGTACAAATACTTACCTTTTTACGCTCTATTTAATTGACCAAATCCCAGTTTTTGATCATCTTCATAGGTAGGTAAATTAGGGGGGCTTAGGGTAAAATTGCCCTAAGTTTTTTTTGTTAACAGTTTTTAACATTTTTGACTATAACATTTGGAAAACCAATGTTTTCTTTATAATAAAGCTACTTTTGTTGCATCTCGCTAGGTCGCACCATTTTCAAGAAACAAAGCATTTGAAAATTTCATGATAAGTTGATGTTATCTTATTCGAAAGTGTAAACAATAATTAGTAGGCCTGTGAAATCAGAAATTTTATTTTTTTTACTTTGTAAAACCGGTGACTAAAGAAATTTTAGAAAATATTTACAAAAATGAGCCATCAAGACTTCACTTGTAACACCCTGTATCTTGAAAATGAAACGTTTTCGGACCTATGTTTATATGAACTTTTATTCCTATTTTAGGATGTAGATTACGCTGTTAAAATATGACCGTCTAATTTCGGGACACCCTGTATATAAGTACCTATATTTTTATATAAAATAATCAAATTAATTAACTTAACCGTTTTTGCATTGAAATTGATTTTAATTAAAAATACTATTGAATCTAGATGTTATATACTTTATATTATCTATACTAAAATTATTTTCCAATGTTTAAAGATGACAAATAAGTATCTTATTCAATACGTATAGGTAATTATGTTTTTCGTCCTACGTAATTCCGAAATATCTAGTTTCTTTTCTTGTTAAGCTTTCAGTTTTTTTTTATTTTCTATTCATAACTTCCAGCTTTCGTTCGTGGTGAAATTTTTCATTTCTTTTACTCCAGCATAGGTATTATTACCTTTCTTAAGATTTTTCCATTATATTTTTATAAATATAAATAGGTATACCGCCTTTTGTGCTAAAATTACTTAGATATAGTCTGTAAATACGTATTCGCTCCGTGCGCGACCGCAGCGCCAATTCGTTTTGGTATTAATGGACTATTTCTGTGTATACTGACAAATACAATTTTTAATAGAATTCGTAATTAAAAAGTATATATGTTAGTTTTAATAAAAGTATATGGATTTGTAAAACAAGTAAAACATTAATTTATTGGTATAATATATTTTTAACGCTTAAATTAAAGAAAATTATGTATAATCAATGAAAATCAATAATAAAATATAGGCAGGCAACAGTATGTACTGGAAAATGTATGAGAAGTTGCCTAAGTCTAATAAGTTGTCATTGAAGAATTAACCTATTCTATCAAAATAAAAAATACCATTTAATAATAGCATGAAGTTAAAATGTATAAAAAAAGGATCGCTATTTATATTTTCATTTTTGTTCGAAAGAAAACATAGAATGAATGGTTTCTCATCAGTAAGTCACAAAATTACATTCCATCCACATATAATAATCAAAGGCAGAAATCTTGAAATCTAGTCCTTGCTGAATGAACATTTAAGAATAAAAGGATATTAAAGAATAAAGGGATATTAAAGAACATCGTAAAATGATAATTTATTGTTTATTTAAAACCTTTCAAGTTTCTGATGTCTACTATTTACAGCATTACTGTTATTATTACAAAAATAAAGGTAATTTTTCTTCTTATTGTACATCTATCCATTTATTTCTTTGATTTAATTTCCACTTTGCTACTGACATTTTTTATATAAGTTTCACTGTTTTTTTTTGCTAGTATTTGTACAATTGTCAACACAGCAACTCCGGTTGCTTATTGTATTGTCTTTACCTACTTTTTTGAAAAAAAAAAGTAAAATGTTTACGTGTATTTGATATGCCAAAATTACAAAATATCGCCCTAAAATGCACGAATTATCCGCAGCTAGCGCTAGTATCGCTTTTGCTTCCCTTTCCATGACTTCGCACGGAGCGCATACGAGGAGGTTCAGAAATTTTTTAGGTGAAACTGTAAATTTGACGTTTTTTTTTAATTATTTTATAACAAAATGAAACAGAAAAATCAGTTATAGCACCAATTCTTAAAAATAGTAGATCTTGTCGTTCCCGAGTGACTTCTAATGCATTTTAAACGAGAATTTGTTCTCCCGGTGACATCAGTGTATCATTCTCGATGTTTGCATACATTTCAAGAATTTAAGGCATTTCAGCACGGCCCTCCCGCGAAACATGTACTTGAAATTCTGCTCGTTGCGTTGACATATTCAGGGATAGTAGGGAAACGTGTTTTAGCGAGCAGCGCAGAGAAAAGCGTATTAAAATATTAAATTAAAGAAATTGCTATTTCCGTAAATTTATTACAAGCTTTTATTTTAATAATTACATTCTCACCTCAAACACAATCATGTAGATACTATAGCTGAAATATACTCGGAAATTCACACAGACATGTAAAACAGATTTTTTTTTTTTCATTAAAATTAGGTAAATTTTTCATTATTTTAAATTAATTTCAAATAATTTATGTAACACATATATGGTAATAAATTAATTAGTACCCTGGGGACATATTTATTTTCTATTAGATCAAATGTATCCATTAGTTTCCCCACGTTAGTATTAGTTTTTCATACCTAATTTTCATTAGATTACAGCGCTCTAATCGATAAAAATTTATCTCTTTCATTTTTTTACTTGTAATTTTGATAAAATATTGTTAAATACAGCTAATTCCTTATCGTTTTTTTAAAAGGATGTGGACTCCCTGTTGAAGGCAGAACAACTGTAGGGACAAAACAATCCAGCATTCAAGAGTGGCCTTGGATAGCTGCTTTATACAGACATCCACAGTTAGAACAAGGTTTAGAGCAACAGTTTTGTGGAGGAGCACTTATCACAGACACGCATATTTTAACGGCATCCCATTGTACCCAAGGGTAAGTTTTCTAAATAACCAGTAGCGGCTCGTGAGCTGCGAAAGAGGTGGGGAATGCAATTGGCTTGAGGGTGGGGATTATGAAAAATTTGTTATTTTGTATTTTTTTAATAATATAGAAAAAATACCATCTTGCACACTGCGCCTTGTCAATAGTCAATAAACAAAATGAAATAATTTCTTATAGTAAAACATCTTACAAAAATAATTATTCTAAAAAAAACATGAAAATCGACATATTTATATTGTTTTTAATTTTTGTTTTTACAAAAGTTCATGGCATGACTCAAATCCTAAAACTGAAATCTGTTGAAATAAAATTTTTCATGACTTCTTCGTCGAAATTATTTATCTCCAGAACTAAATTTCTATTTACTGATATAGCTAAGGCGTTTAGTAACTCATTTAGCATGGTGCTTCGTGAAAATTCCGTGAAAACTATAAAACAACTTTAAAAAAGCAAAATAGTTCCTAACGTTCCATCATCTAAATTCTAATTGCTGGTCCACCGCGAAAAAATTGCGCCTAAATCTGTACTAAAACAGCCGACTGCAAGACGTACTTCTTATAGTCTGAATAAAAGAAAAGTGCAGTAAAAGTGTGGATATAATGTCACATTCCATAGACGTACTTTGCAAAATAAGTTTCTATAATATAAATAAGATCACGCATATAAAATGGTATATACGCACTTCGTAGATTAAATTTTGAATAAAAAAAGTTATATTATTTAAAAAATTATTGCACTTTAACATTGAGCCAATTAAATTTAACCAATAAATAAGAAAGAGGATTATATGTTGTTAATGTGATTAAACTTTTTTAAATCTCTTGTCATTAAAATCATAATAATAACAATAATAAATCTTTATTGGTCCTTTTTGATCACTATACAATGATGTAGGATATACATACACACACATACATATACATATATATTACGTTGCTTAGTAATAATTCTTAATATTATAAAAACATTTTGTTACTAAACATTTTTTTAATGTTTGTTCAAAGCTGTTAATGGATTTTATGTTTTTAATATCAGCTGGCAGTTTATTAAATAATTTAATTCCTGCATACTCAGGACCAGGGCCGGTTTTACCTAAAATGAGGCCCTAGGCGCCAGACAATTTTGAGGCCCATTGTTAGGCATCTATATTATAATATTATTACTAAATAAACTATAAAGTTACCAGGGTGTTTCGTGATATATTTTAAATCAAATTTCAGTCACAGCCAAGAGAAAAAACAAAAAGATTTTTCTTTATTTTTTAATATATTTTGACTCTAATATAATTATTAAAACGCAAAACATCTGCGTTATGCAAATTAACACCGTAATCTGTGGTAATTTTATATTAGATTCTACATTTGTTTTGGATTAATGAGAATGGACTGTATGTAGTTTTATAAATTTTATTTTAAACAATTGTCACTTGAACATTTGTTACATGACGTATTACTTCTTATGATTTCTTGTCTACCACGAAAGCTTGTCCGGTTTGGTTCCGCGTTAGTCGGTTACATTTTTTAAAAAGTTTAAAACAATTTTCGATCAGGTGACATTAGAATAATGGTTATATTGTCTCACAACTCGCCGCGATACAAAAACGGAGAACAATAGATGCACTGTCTTCGGCTTCGTCACAGTCAGGTCGACAGGGTTAATAAAATACACTAGACCATTAGTCCGGGAAACCAAGAACAAATTATAGTCAGAAACAACATTCTATTCTGACATTCTGCAAGCAAAGCAAATAGGTACCTATTTTATTTATACTTTGTTATGTACCACATAGTTTGTTAGGAATTTTAGGTATTAATCTAGAGAATACTAATACAAACTCTACTCCAACTTACCTTTACTCCTGGAGCGCCTTCAGGAAACACGCTCCGACCAAAAAGAGTGGGGTCAATTTGGTCTTGGTTCGTTCAAGAACAGTCAAGCGTCCAATTTGGACATTTAGCTACCCTCGTTTAGAAAATTGAGTCAAATTAGTCTATAGTGCACTCTTTATGTTAGGAGAGGGTGGTAACACTAAACTCGACTATTTAACACAACCATTTATTGTACTCGACTAAACTGTATAAAGATTCGCACAATAATGTCATATATCCAAATTAACGCTTATATCATTTTCTGATGATTTCAACTTATCGACTAATGAGTCATAGTACTAGATATCCCAGTGGCATTTCTTACGGGGGTTGCTAACATTTATTACCCAGTGTATATACTGGGTTAATTTGAGTAAATTTAACAAAACGTAGAGTTCTTTTGCAAAAGTTATTTCATATTATTTTTGTGTGTCATAAAAGTGTTTGTACAAGCAATTTGGTTTTGGTTCGTTTAAGAACAGTCAAGCGTCCAATTTGGACAGTTAGCTACTCTCGTTTAGAAAATTGAGTCAAATTAGTCTATAGTGCACTCTTTATGTTAGGAGAGGGTGGTAACACTAAACTCTACTATTTAACACAACTATTTATTATACTCGACTAAACTGTATAAAGATTCGCACAATAATGCCTTATATTTAAATTAACGCTTATATCATTTTCTGATGATTTCAACTTAACGCCTAATGAGTCATAGTACTAGATATCCCAGTGGCATTTCTTACGGGGGTTGCTAACATTTATTACCCAGTGTATACTGGGTTAATTTGAGTAAATTTAACAAAACGTAGAGTTCTTTTGCAAAAGTTATTTCATATTATTTTTGTGTGCAATAAAAGTGTTTGTACATGCAATTCTATAAAGTAAAGTTTGTTTTAAAATAAATATTCTAAAATTTCTTGTCTTATTGACTTTATAGATCATTCATTATATAAAGTCGATTGTAAATAGGGCTGTGAATAGGTACATACATTTGAAAGGGTTTAACACCCTGATTACAAAAATGTATCACACATGGGGTCTAAACACAACAGACATAACCTATGTTGCTATTTAAAAAAATCAAGATGCCATGCTTAAAATTTTGTAATTATAAAAAAAATAATTTTTGGGCTAAAATATGCGCAAATATATTTAAGTGAAATTCTGAAATTTTGGGTTTTGTAGGTTGAATCGTTTAAGCACTATATGTTTGGTTCCATCTTTAACAGCTACCCTGTATGACTATCAGAAACATTTTTTGTGAGCCAATACATATTTTTTAAATTATTTCCCATTTTAACAATCTCATTATTTACCCATTTTGTATTACGTCTGTTTTCAAAGTAATTTTTATTTACCATTAGACAAGTCTGATTTACATAGTAGGAAATTATGTTCAAAAATGTATTATAAATCTCATCAATATCCAATGGAGCTTCAAAAATAAGTGAGAAATCTTCCTGTGACATTTTCAAGGATAGACTACATAAATTTGCATACGAAGTATTTCTAAATAAAACAGTTTTCATGTTATTTTATTTTTGAGAATACATAGAGTGATTTAGCGTTATAGTAAGCCTATAGTGATCACCTAAATAAAAGTAACTACAATTTGTAAGAAAATAATCTATTTTTGATTTAGAAATTTTCCCATTTTGGTCAAGTGACTCTGGTCGGTTCTATATTTTGACATTGTAAATTAAATCTCTCCATTAGATCCATTAACAGCTTTTTTTACGACTTTCATTTAAAAGATTTGTATTAAAATCTCCACATACCATTACAGTATCATAAGAATTGTACAGAACAGTTAAAACGTCACACATTTTATGTAAAAATAATTCAGTGGAACTGTCAGGCGATTTATATATATACAGATTATACATTTTATATTATTTAGGCTAATGTAATTTCACAACATTCAAACAGACACTCTTCAGAGAAACTTTTAATAAAAATTAGTATTTTAAAAATTAAGGAATTTTTGACAAAAATAACAGTTAATCCATGTATTTTAATTTTGCGGTAATACAAAATTCCGAATCACTTGAAATACATTTGATACGCCCACAGTTTATTGCTAAAGAATCAGTTAGCTCACTTGGACCAGTTGAATGTTCCAAAATAATATCCAAATTCAGGATGCGCAGAAGACTGCTGTTTGAATATAGTAGACGGTTGTCATGTATTGGTTATGATTTGATTCTGTATGCGCCAGGGATACAAATCCGAGTTGCGCAGTGTATAAACTGGAACATTGAGATTAAAAGTGCCTACGCAGAGTGAGCGAACTGATTCTTTAGCTATAAACTGTGATACGGCTATGAACAAATAAAGTCTTACTTATCTGTCAAACAGAAAAAGTTTATTACATTAAAAACCTTTTGATTAAATACAAACGAAAACTTTTATTAGGCCGATTAGACGAATTAAAATTTTCATTTTAACTACAAATAAGCATTGAAGGATGACGTATAAATAAAATGTCTACCACCCGAACCTGTACTACGTTCTGAAAATCAAATTACTGCACTCCTTTCTTCTCTTGACTATAGCGCGTGTCCTACTACGTTTCCATGGTGACGCGGGCCTCAATCGTACTGCGGCCGTCTATAATACTCCAGTCAAAATAGGGAATGAGCTCATAAATTGTTATTATAGAAATGATTTGGAGGGGACATTATAAATGACACTCACAGCATGTGTAGAGACGATAGCAAAAATTATAAAATAAACAAATAATGTTTTTAATTAGTGTTTTATTCTCTGGTATTTCTGGTATTTTTAAGGAAGGGAGCGCGGCCATGCGGCCTTAAAGAGTAGCCGCATTTCTAAATAACAGTATATATTTGTTCCAAAATGTAATTTCATTCTCATTCTATTCTTTTCGTTCAGCTAGGAACGCTTGAAATAGTAAATTTAGGCAATATTAGTATCACAAACTTAAGCCCCTTCTCTTGCTTGAGCGGTGCGACTATAATACTATTATTAAGAGAATTCAGCGAACTTTATTATTAAACAAGCCGAGATTTTCAGCATACTTGACTATATTTCCCGAAAAGAACGCCACATGTTCAATTTCATCGAAGAGAACAGAAGGATAAGGAATTTCAATAGAACATATTGTCCCAAAAATGTTTACCCTAAAATATTTGGTTTTCATCTAATTTCCATTTCAAAAATTTGTATTTTTTTATATTTTTAATCAAGAATATTGCCTCAAATTATATGTGACATTGTATTTTTGAAAATAAACTTTACCTAAAATAGTCAATAAGGGGATTGGCAGAAACATTAACTTTGAACAACTAATTGATTCCATTAAGAACTGAGGGACAGTTAGACCAAGAAGTTGAATTTTTGTTAAACATAATCTACAGGAAGCATGAAAAACACTCCTAAAATTAAATGCAGAATGCAAGATAAGTATCCAAAAGAGATTTTTTTCTCAGAAAAAAGAAAGTTAGAAACAGTCAAGCACCAGTTGATTAAACAACTTTAAACAATACAACAGCTAAAACGTGAAAAACGGCAAATTAAAAATTAGTCGATTGGCAAATATTTATGTAAATTAACTAAGGATTTCTCACTCTGAAAAGTTACCAAACGAATAATAAACTACCTACTATACTGGACAGAATATATAATATATAATAAATGTACCAGATTCCATAAAAGGTACCAGATTCTATAAAATGTACCAGATTTTGCGAATTGTGAAGTGTGGTCCAGATATCAGGGACATGTGGTCATTAAAGAGCAAAAAAAGAACACGAACACAACAAACATGGAAGACCCCAACAATTACACATTCCAAACAAAATGGCTGCCAGTGGATTTTGACAAGTTATGATTTGGTTATGATATGGCAACCTTGTGGTAAATAGACAGGGTTATATAGATTGATCATACATGTTTTTCAAAATAAACAAAAAGCTAATGCCTTGAAGAAAACATGTAGGTAATTATTTTTTTACTATATTCAATGGCTGAAAATTGGTTTTAAAACACATTTTTGCTAAACTGATTCTGATGATAAATGAGCACTTGCGAGGCAATATGGCCGCTCGCAAAACGACCCGCTTTAAGCAATCTATACAACTATAATGTATCAATGACAGCAAGCCACAGGGTTGCTATTGGTGCATTTGAATATGTACATCGGATGCACCTGAGATGTTGTCAATTTTTTATCACGTGATAGAGGATTAGATCTAAATGTAGGTGTAATAAACAAACGCTCTAGACTTTATTGGTAACGTGATAAAATTACAATGACAAGTTAGAAGTTTATATTTTTTAAATTTTACTTTTCATACTAGAAATCAACCTAAATTTGAAATCTAAACGAAAATTACGCTAGCATAAATAAAAGATAAATAAATAATCTTGGCTTCACAGAACACCTACTTTCTGGCATGGAACGAACATCTTATTCACATTTCATTTCAAATTGAGATGTAAAAAAATGTAATCTGGATAGCTACATCTCGCAGCTGTAGATGTAGCAGATGTGTCCGATAGTGTCTGATGTGGATAAACAAACGCTCGAGGTGTAAAAAATACATCGGATGTGGATATTCAAACGCAGCAAATATACATCTAAACTGTCAGTCTCCACTTGTTAGCATTTTTACAGGTCGTTGGAATGCCTAATATATTTTACACGTCAAACGAAAACATACGCTAAAAAAAGAAAAAGTACTAGATTTTGCTTTGAGTGTACTAGAGTACCAGAGTCTCTGAGAATGTACTAGATCTAGTACAATTGTACTAGACTGACAACACTGATACTGGACTAGAAATAATTTCCAAACTCAAACAGATTTGCCAACATTTAGAGAGTACTTTCCAACCCAATAATGGTTATGTTTTTTAAGACTAGATGGAACTAGAATAATCTACCGCGCCAAAAGAAATTTCGATGAAAATCCGAATATAAATCCGAAAAAAGCCACTGGATTTGACCTCATTACCGGAAAAATTTTAGAAAATTTTCTATCGGAAAACTATTATCAATGCGTCCTTACGACTGAAGTACGTACTAAAGATATGGAAGGTAGCAGAAGTAATGTGATAATTATTTCCGCCATGTATATTCATTGTCATTGTCAGTATTAATATTTAGTTTATCATTTTATTTTGTATGCATTATTTTACGTTGAAAAAACCATCCACTCCGGTCAGTCCTGGATTTGTCAATAGGCCGTATAGGTCGCGGCCTAGGGGCGGCAGTGTTCCAGGTGCGGCAGATTTCAGAGGACGCTCACTTGATTGCAGAGGATAAAAGTCAAACAAGTTCACTAGTTTTCTCATGGTTTTTTATACTAATACGTTAAATCCCTGTAGAAACTCATTCCTATCGAAAATTATCAATCCTAGATACCTACTGTTATTTTACTTATTTTATCTATATTACGACGATTTGGTTCAAGAATGTGTGCATAATCACAGTCACATTTCCTCTAATAAAACTGCAGAATGTGCAGTGAAACCTGGATCAACGTTTTTAAGGAATCAGTCTATGTCTAATGTTTACCCTAACTTGGATATAGCTCTCCGCATTGCACTTTCCATTCCGGCTACAAATTGATCTTGTGAAAGTAGTTTTTCCTATTTAAAACGCGTGAAAAATTATCAAAGGTCTTCATTGTCTCAAGAAAAAATGAATTCTTTAGCTCTTCTCTACATAAACTATGATGATATTATAGATGATTTTGCTATTAAAAAGTCTCGTAAAAATTGTAATTCTTGTTTCTTTTTTACGCTTTTTCTTAATGACTAATTCATTCTTTTATTTCACTTTAGTTCCTTCCTTACTACAAATGGAAAATTATTATTTTAGAAAGGTACATGGGGCTGTGGAAATAAAGCGGCCTACACTCATAAAAAATATAAATCCGGCATTGACTCTGGTTTCTCATTAGAACAAATTATTCAACATAAAATTTCTGTATGGAAGGCCTAGAGAAATATCTGCAACCAGCACGATTTGCAACAGATCCTACTTCTCCTCAGGCATCAGATGATTGGATCTATTAGACAGACATTCAATAACTTTCTTAATAGTCAAAAAGAGATATGTGAATTAAAGGAAGATTATAAACTCCAAGTATTTGCCCCTCGTTTCATTAAAATGATTAATGAATGTAGATCTTTAGAGGATGCTTTTGAAGTTTTGGATTTTTACATAAAAACAGCAAATCAAATCTATGCTCAACACTTGCTACAAGTCGTCAGCAGTCATGCAAATTTAAGGTTGTATTAACAGAAGAGAATAAGAAACATTACATCTTCTAATTTTAAAAGACAAATATTATTCGAAGTATCTACTGTCAATTTAGAAAAGGTTTAGAATAAAGGTCAAACTCTTGAAAGCACTCAATCAGCTAGTTTTTCACCTTGCACATCTTTTGTAAATTACCTTTATTCTTCCAGATAAACTTCCTCACAAAGTTACATCGTACAGGCTCATATTCTGGTTGCCTTTTATCTCAAAACTCCACGAAAAAATACCTGTCAAGAGATAAGAACCCGTACCCTCTCCTTAAATTATCTATACTTTTGAGGTGGATTAGTCCTATCCTCTATACGTTTATTCTTCTTATTCTTCTATTCTAAACATCGTCAATTTCTCCACATTCATTATTTAATTACTGTATTCACTTGAATCCCGGTCTACCTTTTCTTATAAATTATACCCACAGAGATTTAAGTTTTGTAATATTTCTAGATTGAATGCTGGCGAAATCCGTGTACGACTAGGAGAATACGATTTTGACAGATCTAACGAATCGCGCTCCAGAGACTATGAAGTTGCTGAGATTATAGAACACAAATGTAAGATTATTATCACATTATTACCACGGCACGTAAGACATTAATACCGTTTTATTTTTTCAGCTTTTATCTTAGCAACATACGAAAACGACATAGCAATTCTCAGATTGAAGACTCCGACAAGTTTCAATTCTTATATGTGGCCAATATGTCTTCCGCCCCGTAACAGGGATTACGTCAACGAGACGGTTGTGGTTGCTGGTTGGGGTCAACAATTTTTCGCTGGCCCAACTAGTCCTGTGTTACTCCAAGTTTCTATACCAGTTTGGCCGCTAAACAAATGTGTTGATTCTTTTGTACAGAAAATTACCGATGATAATATTTGTGCTGCTGGTTACGAAGGGGGAAAAGATTCTTGTTTGGTGAGTAATGTTAAAAACACAAGTTATTATTATTCCTAAAATGATCCGAAATATGGATTTGTATAAATTCTAAACGTTACACATTAAAATAATAAAAACAATGTAGATCTAGCTGTTGCTAGGAGATATTTGCAAACCGATGTAATGACATGAATTATTTATTAATTCATTTACCCTAAAAGTCCTAATTACAAGGATATGTTTCTACAAATAGTAAGTTGACTAATAATACAGAATGTGAGTGAGCGAGATTCAGAACGAGGGACTTTCAGAATTACAGTGGATCAAATTCATTTAGCTAAAAAAGATTCATAAGACACTGAAACATTAGAATGTGACATCGTTTTCCATAAAAACATTGAAAAGGCAATGCGAAAGGTACACAAGGGATGTGGTAATTACAACACCACTACACCCAAATCAACAAGCATACACCCCAGGCAGATCTACCGATTCAAGCCCTCACCTAGTAGCAACGGATAGAGGAATTCCTGGATACTAAGGAGTCCGCATTGGGTGTTTTCATAGACATAGAAGGTTCTTTTGATAAAACGACCTTCCCCAAGATGATACACTCACTAACCAGCAAACATGTTCAACAGAGGGTTAGTGAGAGAATATATAACATACTCTCAAAGCGAGCAGTAAATGTAAGTGTAGAAAATGTCATCAACCGCCTCAATAATGACAGTCTCTACACAATAGCGTATATAAAGGGTGATCCAATTTAAATTTCCTAACTTTAAAATAAAATAATACTTAAAAATTAAAAAAAATATATAATTTAACTTTAGCAATAGAAGATATTAAGTATTTCATTATATATGAAAAACAATATTATTTAAATTATCGCCCCTAGACCTTCTGCAAGAGTCGATCCTTTTTAGATAATTTTCGATGACTTTTTAAAAGATTTTGGGCGGTACGTCGGCAATAACTTGGCGGATATTTTTTTTCCAGATGATCTAAGGTTTCGGGTTGATTGGCATAAACAAGAATTTTAAAGAAACAACACAGAAAAATCTAATGGAGTTTGCCATTTTGCCAGTTTGCAAAATGCGTCAAAGGGAGCCATAAGAAAAGCCTAAAACTTGCGAGCGCCGGGGAATCGACATTATTGGGTTGGCAGCCACGCCTTCACTAATTGCAGCAATATTTTTACCTAAACGTGCACAGGCCTTCTCCTATCTGCAACACTTCCATTATCTTCAAATTTCTTAACATTTCGAAGTTTCCTCAGTAGGACGATTAAATTAACCATAGTCTGCGCGTAAAAGTCTGTATACGGTTCGTACGGAATTGTTGTTTTGATAAAACAATACCACAAATTGCATACGTTGAGCGGTCGTTAAGCGATCCATTTCGTAAATGTGTTTCTACAAACTCACTTTTGACGCTTCAAAAACAAATGCTTGTTACCAACTATCTGATTTACAGTAGTGCCAATATAGGAAACTGAAATTGGATCACCCTTTAGATGACTGGTCATCGCCAAGTACGGAAGCATATCCATGACATGGGGCTGTCAGAATCCGCACTCTGCAGGAGGTGCCAACAAGAAGATTAGACCATCAAGCATATCCTCTACTATTTCCAGACGCTTTCATTTATTAGAAGATTTATATTCGGTGGGTATCGGCTAAGACCGGCCGATATAAGAGAAGTACCTCTTTGCTCACGAACTAGAAGGTGCCTATCTACTTAGGAGGATTCACAAGACCTAGTGAGACCCTAAGTGTCGTTGATTAACCCATCCTTTACACGTTACAGATACAGATCATGCCTTACTATAAAAAAACCTCGGGTCCGGACGACTTTAGGGACAGTGGAATTTTAAAGAAATTTATTTTTTATCAGAGAGCGTATTTTAAATAGGAAATAAAAAAAAAAAAATTGCGGTAAATGCATTATTTAAGCCAAAAAAAAATTATTTCATTTCTATAAAAATCAGCATTTTGACGACTGTAAACATGGAAACTCGATGGTTTCTGTCAAATTTGGAAAATATAATTGCAACGTTGCCGGATTGTGATAAAATTAGTAGTTAATGGAAAATTGTGATTGAGCATACCGGTCCATAAATATGCAACAAGAAAACGAAGCAACGACACCAAAAACCATCAACCCATACCTGGCTACGCCGACCGGCATAGACTCCAACGGCCTGGACACAGCTCAAATTAAATTGAAAACGTAAACTTTTTCACATAATTTCTTGCGATTGCGAATACTAGTCCATAAATATGCAACAAAAAAACGAAGCAACGACTTATCGTAGGGTGGCGGCTTCGCCGCTACCAAAAAACATCAACCATACCTGGCTACGCCGACCGGCATAGACTCCAATGGCCTAAACACAGCTCAAATTGAATAATTGAAATGAAAAGGCTCAAATAAACACATTTATATTCTGGTTTTATCATCTGCCCTGAAGCTATTAAAAAACCAGCCACTGTTATTCCTGTTATGTACGTTCTTTTTACTATGTTTGACAACACCACATTTATAGAAATAAAAATTTCAGTTGTCATATTATTCATAAACAAAAAATAATATAGAACGGTATTACCATGAATATATTTATTTAGAACAAATAAAAAGCAATTGGCAACATCGCTAAAATCACGCACAGGCGCTCTTAGTGTGACTGTCAAAAAACAATATGGCTACGTGAGAATGTCGTGAATAAATGCATATACTTAATTTTTTAGCTTACAAATGTGTTTTAATAATATTTGTTGCTTTAATTAGGTTAGTGTACATTTATAGAAGATTAAAAAGTGTAAAAATATTATGGTTTTACTTAATCTTTATGGAAAAAGTGACAAAATTACTGTCCCTAATATCGTCCTTAGCCAAAACCTCTCTTCTCTCTTGTTAGATAGATAGATTTTTTCTAGTAACACAACATGGTCTAACTTGGGAAAAATACGCCAAAACATGAACGAGCCAATTTTTTCGATTTTTTTTTAGACCATTTTAGACCATTTTGGACCCTCTAAAAAACATTTTTGAATACATTTTTCGCCTCAAAACCCCTTAAAATTAATTTTTTTTCTTACCTTAAACGTCCAAATGTGTCATCCAATCACGATCCTAAAATCACGTGAATTACATCATTTTGATTGATTTCTTGTAGTAAAAACTGCTAAATATCAATATTAGACTGTCCATAGAGCAATAAACCATACAAAATGTTTTCGTAAACGCTTATAATTTCTTTGTATTTGACTTTTAAAATTTTAAAACTGTTGGTTACTTCGTAGTGACATTTTATCTACTGTCAGTCCTGTCGATTGAAAACATCTAAAAAAATACAGTGTTGCCAGATAAATTCGAACATGTCAATCATCATGTTAGCTGTATCCTGTGTTCTGCGTTGTTCCAGGCCATCAAAAAATGCAACTTTCGACCTTTCACACAGTCTCTTGCGATTGCGCAAACCGGTCCATAAATATGCAACAACAAAACGAAGCAACGACTTCTCGTAGGGTGGCGGCTTCGCCGCCACCAGGAAACATCAACCCATACCTGGCTACGCCGACCGGCATAGATTCCAACGGTCTGGACAAGCTCAAATTGAAATGAAAACGTGCGATTGTGCATACCGGTTCATACATATGCAATAAGAAAACGAGGCAATGACTTTTCGTAGGGTGGCGGCGTAACATCAACCCATACCTAGCTACGCCGACTGGCATAGACCCCAACGACCTGGATACAGCTCAAATTAAAAAATTGAAATGAAAAGTTTCTAATAAACACATTTATATTCTGGTTTTATCATCTGGCCTGGAGCTATTGAAAAAACAGCCACTGTCATTCCTGTTATATACGTTCTTTTACTATGTTTGGCAACATCGCAGTTATAGAAATAGAAATGTCAGTTGTCATATTATTCATAAACAAAAATTATTTGATATCATTATTATTTTAAGATTTTAAAAACCAAAAGTGAAGAATAATTAACGTTTACGGAATTTTTTTCTTGATTTATTGCTATATGGATAGTCTAATATTGTTATTTAGCCGTTTGTTTTGTACAACAAGAAATCAATTGAAATGATTTATTTAACATATTTTCGAGTCTAAACAAAACATTTTGATGATTTTAGGGTAAAAAAACAAGTTTTTAATTGTCAGCGGACCCTAAATACTTATGTGGAGTGTATTTCAAAGTGTTTAACAAGAGTTTTTTAAATATAAATAGTAATATCCGCCGTTCATGTTTCATGGTATATTGCTCTAACTTGTCGAAAGCTTTATTGAAATCGGTAATATTGTGTCAGTTTGTATCCATTTGTCGAATGTTAAATTAATATCATGTGTACATGAAAGTAAATTAGAATTAATCGATCTTTTTGATACAAAACCGTGTTGTTGATCGGTAATACTATTTTCAATATCTGCATACAGTTTATTGTAAATTATCTGTTAAATAATTTTGAGAGAGAGAGAGAGAGCACAAATTACTAATAATTACGGTACTGAATGTCATTGTTAACTCCATACTTGAAAATTGGTGTGCAAATTGCAGTTTTCCACATATTTGGCATGTTTTTTTTTTTAAAACACCAGCAAAGGTAAATTCAAAAAGAGGTAACCGTAGAACTAGCAGACAACTCTTCATCTCTTTCCAAGTATTACGGATTTTTAGTAGATAAACAAAACTGTTTGTTGTATCAGTTTATAATTCTCCCCCCGTTTTGTTTTTTCTAGGGCGACTCAGGTGGTCCCTTAATGTACCAACTAGAAAACGGGAGATGGATAACAGTAGGAATAGTGTCCTGGGGAATAGGATGCGGGAACAAAGATAGTCCTGGAGTTTATACAAGAGTTGGCAACTATTTACCCTGGATAATAAAACACACCATGGTGAAAAGAACTCCAACATAAAGTCATATCGTTTGTAGATAACTATGAAATACAGCAATAAAGTTGAGCAATTTTTGAATTTTATTACTCCTTTATTTAGCGAGGTACATGTTGAGATGTTCTGGTTTAAGTATAATTTTAAGAAAACAAAAACTTTCTTGGAATTATCGGTTATTTTATATATTTTAATTTAATAATAAACAAGTTTTGATATTGGTAAAAACGTAGAAATTAAATTCAATATTTTTAAATTACCATTTAAAAAGGTAAGTATCTGTATCTTTGTAAATCAGAATTTCCCAAACGAATACTAGAAGACAAAAGTGTTTTAGAGTAGATATATTATTCTAGTGGCATTACATTTTTAACTAAATGTTGCACTACAAACAGTTGGCATCGAAAACGCATAACAATTAAAATAAATGAATGCATCTACATCAAATTTATTATACATACAGGGTGTCCCATTAGTGCGTAATTGTTCAATATTTCAATTTGTGTTATAGACAAGTTTTAAATAAAAAGTGTATAAATTTAAAAATATTTTTGGATATACAAGGTGTATAATATACACTGTATATATACACACTGTATATATTTTAAATAAAATGTATTTTATTTCAGTTTTAGAATGGTTTGGTAAGGTATTTAACCCTATAATTCTTTTAAAAATATTACAGAGTTGTCAAGAAATTAATTTTTTTATGAAATTAGAGTATGATGCAGACTCCAAGTTAAATGATCGTAATTTAGGTAGGTTTACAATGATTCCAAAATCGTTTAAAATACAGAATCATAAGATATTAGGATAACGAATGGTGGTGATTATTTTATACAAATATGTCTAATTTTAAGTTCAATTTACTAAATTTTTTCAAATGCAACACCCTGTATATTATTTTCGCATAAAATTCCTTATACCTTTATCTATCCAACGATATTTACATGTTAGACGACAGTAACACATATACAGGGTGTTCTATCAGCGCGTAATTGATCGGTAGTTATTTCAATATTGGAAATATGAAAAAAAAAATTAATATAAAAATTGTATGACAAAGTATACCTTAGCCTTTTTCTATGACACATTTAAAATTTCCAAATAAAATATAAACTCTGCCACGTCTTCTTCAAGGGTAAATTCTTCAAGGGTATAAACATAACTTCGCATTTTAATCTACGTCGAAAAAATGTCAAGACATCGCATCGCATAGAGTTAAATGAACTCCAGCGGAATAGCGTCTCCAGAAATAGTGTCTAATAAGATTTTGAATTGTCCTTTTGCGAATGAAGTAAGATTTATTAAAATTTTAATTCCGAATCCTGTAAGGCGAGAGTTGTTAGTTTATTTCAATTGAGACGAGGAAAGTTTAAGAGACAGTCTTATATTTCCCCTGCGCTGTACCTTCCAAGGAATGACAGTCTTATAGGTATTTCCCCTGCGCTGACTATCTGTAAATATTTAATTAAGATTATACCGGATGAACAATTTTTTGATAACGTATTTTCTAAATTAAAAATTCACTTTGGGATAAAATTGGGAAAATTTGAAAATGTTACCCAAAATATTGCTTCTTACTAAGTTAATGGCTGCCCAAGTAACATTTTTAGGAGAAACAAGTTTTATTTATGTTTCAATAGGATTTTGTAAAGGCATAAAAATTAATAATTATTTTATTACAGTAATTTTTTTTTGCTAATAGGACTGCAGGATAAATTGATCTTATTACTTGGTTTTGTAGATTCCTTTAAATCTGTTTATCGCTGTCTTAGTTAATAAGTAATTTTAGAACTACTTAGTTTGAAGATACTCCTGAGGTGCGTATGGTGTTAAAAAGGCATACTTTTTAGTAGGTTTTAAAACTTAGTTTTAAAGAGTATCTTAGAATTATACTTTAAATTAAATTGATCCCAGAACCTTTTAGGTACATTTTCTACAATTTTACAATATAAATCTTATAATTTATTTGTTCTACTAAACGATAGGGTCTTTTATAACTACATAGTTTTAATAAGAACTAAAGGTTGTTTTAGAGCATAACCTAGCTTTTTAACCAATCACATTATGTTGACGTTGAAAGATAAATTGCTCAAAATAAAGAAAAGTGGTAATTTCCATAGAAAATAAAAAAAATTATATAATAAGTATATGTTTCTCCTTCTCCTCAGTGTTTAACAAATTCACTGTGTGCCATTGTTTAACAAATACCAAAGATGCTCCAAATATTCTGGAAATGATCAGTGAAAGAGAAAAATGGTTAATATATTATTACCAATTTTTATATTTTTTGACTTGTTCAGTAAATAAGGAGCTCAAGAATGAGGTTAGGTTATGCCCGTCTGATTGAACTTATGAATGTTTTATTGAGGTTTTCGTTTATGCTATTGTTTTTGAAACGCTTTAAAAAGTGTAGCAGGAGCTTTTTAAATCTGGAAAGTCCTAAAAAGTATTTGTTTTGCTTTATTATTATTATAAGCTATTGTCCGTTTTTAGGTACAGATAGAACACAATGAAGAAATCCTCCATTTTAAATATGGCAATGGCTGTTTAACCACATATTATGTAAAATAGTACTTGTCTACCAGACCTGTACATAATGGATATTCAAATAACTTACGTTTGAATATTAAAATAAATTATGGTCAAAGTTCAAATAATTCGAAAATCTTTAGATTTTAGTAATTACGTAATTTGTGTACCAAAAACAGTGCTACTGTGTCAATGACAACAGTGTGCCAATGACAGTAGATTTATTATTTATGATTGCGTTTACTGCGTTTAATCTCATAATGTCAAATTTGTCAAATATATCTACAGCTAATACCTTTTAGGGTATATAAATGTAATTTATATTGGAACATGCTATAATAACATAATGCTATACAACTCTTGCCGCGCCTAATGTAATTTGTTTGTTTCTGGTAGTATGCGCAATTGAAAATGGTTTTCTGACGATGACAAGTATCCCTGCAAAGACACATCTATAAGGATTTATATTGACGATTATATAGTCACTTCCTTGAAATAATTTTAAAAATACAAAAAGTGATATTTTATATCAAAAACATATCGAAGACAAATGTAATTATTATAGTGCTATATATACGATATTTATGTTATTTTCTATTAATAACATTCGGTAAATAGATTTGAATGAGTATATTAATCCTTTTTTTACATATATATCATATATTGTAAGGCCCATCATTTATTACGACCCACTTTTGCCACTTTTAACAGTACTTTGGTGTGCGTTTGAAAATTGAGGAAATAACTGCAATTGTAACCAAACAGATTAAACATATACTGTAAATAATTAATTTCTAATATGGCAGTCTGCACAACATGTTTGAAAAATCATTTTCACAGAGAGTATGATAAAACAGAATAAAGATAAAACAGTTTAAAATTTAATTCTCTTAATTAGTTTTGTAAAGTTTTTATGCCTATCCGACTTATTATCATAATCTTAAAATAGATTTAAAAATGGTTTAATAAAGTTCTTAAAATACTCTTACGGACTTTTATTTAGGTCTAATTAGTTTTAAGATATTGTTTAAAAAATACTCCTAAGAACCGTTATAGGATTCTCCCTGTTACTCTTAAAGCAGATTTATAGCAGTCCTAAGGCTATCTCGCGGATTCAAAAGTTTTATCAGTGTCTTAAAAAAAGGTTTTATTGTTATCTTGTATACTTTGATAAATCTAAATATATTACTTGGGTGTTTATTTAAATATTTAAAAATTGAATGTGATCATTATTTAAACACTGCCTGACATTTCTTTAAGAATATTGGACAGTACAACAAAAAATGCGAATTAATATTTTATATCTCTTATAATGACAAGGCTAGACTTAAAAACGAAATGAGCTTTTTCGGATTTTGTCCAATATCTCAGGAAGTACATGGCCGGAAAATCTAGAGCTTTTATAGATTATTGAATTACCAATCAAAATATAAAACTTTTTCCCAATTCAACCGGCATTGTATATCTTGTATATAGTAAATTAACCCTTTCGCATCAGGAGTTTTGTTAGGCGACTGGTCCCGAAACGGGGACTTTTGTACTTGCGCTTTCGTTTGTCTTCCGTATATTGCGTGTGTTCTTTACTGCGTTCCCGAGTGTTTAAATGTGAGATTTGTCATCAAACTCTAACAAAACTCATTAATTGCTGCTTCAGTTCATTTTATAGATATGTTAATAATAATAATAATAATAATCTTTATTCATGTGCAAATTGGTTAAAGTGATAGAATGAATAGATGTATATAAAAATAGGTATAATTTTTTTTTAAATATTAATACATAAAATATTACTAAAGTATATCATCATTAATTAAAATAATTAACAAAAGTAAAAAAAAACTACATTGAATAAAGATAGAATACCGATAAGTGCTAAAACACTTGTGTCGGTTAAGACAATAACATAATAAATACTAATCTAAAATGACTTAAACAGATTTAAAAATTAAAAAATTATAAAAAATAGTTAAATAGTTTAAAATAAGACGATAAGTGGTATGTATCTTATACATCCTCCATTTAGTTTTCGAAGAAATGGTTTGTTTATGCCTTTAACGGGATTTTCTATAATGAACTGTCCTAAATTCTTTTTGAATAGGAACTTACTGACTACTGTTGTAATTTCATGAGGAATCATGTTGTAAAGTTTTGGTGCTAAGTAAGTATATGTTGATTGTGTAATTCTTTTCAACATTAGAGGTGTAACAAAATGATGCCTTTGTCGAGTATTGTATGTATGTGACGGAAGTTGGGCACTATATTTATTGGTATGTTGTTTATAACAAGACGCAAAAATAAAAAGTTGTCTTAAATTTAAAATTTTTGTTTCAGCATGAAGCAATTGTGTTGGATACCTAGCGTTTTTTTCAAAAATTGAAATTAAAAATCTACGCTGAATTACCTTAAGCGGATGTATGTGCGTTTTTAAAGCTCCTTCCCAAGCTGTAATCGCATACCGAAGATGGCTGTCAACAAGTGAGAAATATAATGTTTTTAGGTGTTTCAGAGGTAACAATGATTTTATAAACCTAAATCTATATAAAATCGTTCTCAG